TCCTTTCCCTACTGCTAGTCACTTAATATACAGTAAAGCACAAAAAATCATCAAGCATTTGTTAACAATGCAAGAACACAACCATACTTCTTTCAACTAATATATAATTAATTGGAGGAAAAATAGACTAAAAGAAATACAACAGCTAGAGTATTTATTACAACAAGCCTATCCAACTCAACATAACAACCCAAACAAACGTCATGTCAAAAAATTAGCCCAGATCCGATAGATTTAAGCCAGCATACCACAAATTTCCAGAAGGCATGATTCCTAGCAAAATGTTCCACATTGAGAAATTCTTTAGCCTAGATTGGATAACTTTTTGAGACCTATAATTTTCATGAAGGGACTAGGGGCTAAAAATGACTGCATGTATTTGCCTTCAAATTGCTGCCCCTCTTAAACCAGATTGTAAACAAGAAATCAGTGTTTTAAAACAATAGTTATGTTTTACAACTTCTATAGCATATGCATTTCACATGTTGTACACAGTTTAAGGTTTCATAAAATTTTAATCAACTACCCAACAACAAATCTCATGAGTTTGACTTTATACTAGAAAATAAAATTCAACATATGATCGCTTTTACACTAAGAAGATCTGATTCTATAGCCTCAAGATGACATAGACTGGAGTCATTATCTGCACAATTGTCATGCAAGCTCAAGCATATAATACCAAACTTTTATATTCAAAACTCTAAGATAAGATATCTCACAAAACATAACTACCATTACATGTCAATTTAAGGAGAGGAGCTGGACAGAGTCCAATATCCAGGTAATTTTAAATTTCAAGAAAAATTGAACATCCAAGAAACAACCAGTCTAATATTAGCATGAAAAACCAACTTTTGAGGGAAAAATTACCCAAGAGAGAATTGGCAGAGAAAGGCCTGGCAACAACGGGAAAAAAAAAACTGAAATCAGCTTTTCATATCCATTCTATTACCCAAGAGAGAATTGGCAGAGAAAGACCAAACTTTTCACACAAAATATTAATTAAAATTACCTAATTGACAAATGTGCCAAGATAGACATCCTTCTAAATTAAATATTAAATACCTAATTGACAAATGTGCCAAGATAGACATCCTTCTAAATTATCCATTCTATTATAAAACAGAACTTTAAAAGTCACAACATAGACTGACATTCATGATATTCAATATATAAAATTATAAAGACACTCAAAAATAAGGCCCGACACAAAATTGTTTTAGCATACACCTCTAGCAAAACAGTCTCAAAATTCAGTTGAAGAGTACAAATTATAATAGTGTGTTATAAAGTTTAATTTAAGCTAACACGTTGCAACTTCAGAGTATAACTCAACATCAAACAAACGTTTTCTCTCTTATTTATATTAATATTGAAAAATGGAACTAACTACGTACAAAGGTATAGCTAATAGAGTGATAGGAATAGGATAAAATCAACCTTAAACCCAATAAATTAGAGAAAGTTTTTTCTCGGCTTGAAGCATAAAAAGTCATCAAGAGCTTGGTTACTTAAAGTAAAGTTGTATTGAGTTAATAGGCATTTGCTCTTTTGACAAAAAGATCAATAAATTTTTCTAACAATAATTAACAACAATAAAATGCTACAGCTTTGAAAAAACAAAATAAAGATGAGTAACACCAATTAAAAATAGTGAGAAATGATAATTGACAATACATTGATTACAAATACCAAGTACAAAAATCATGAATGAATAGAACCAAGGCTACAAAGGTTAGTCATATCCGCCTCTATGTCACTATTGCTACTAAAATTCACCAGTAGTTAGTTGAAAATACTCTAGAGTGTAGCTTATTAAATGGATAATATTCATATCAAATTCTTGTTATATATAAAATAAATTAGTTGTTTTATGTGAGACCTTAACAATTGATTCTTCAACATCTAAGAGTAATGTTTTTTTTTTTTTTTTTTTTTAACTCTAATAAGCAAACATTTCAATGTCAAGTTTTTTCATACCATAATGAAATAGATCTAAACAAATGAAATTTGCAATCCACTAATGTATAAAAAAAAATATGTAGAAACTAGGAGATTTAATTGAAGATTAGAAATTTAACAAGATCGATCTATAACCTAGGGTTTTGAAACAAATAAAATCTGGTAATTGCAACTTGCAAGTATGGAAACTTATAATAAAAGAATATACCTTTTAATGCTTAGATTGCCGAACGAATTGGGATAGGTAACTGGAAAAATCATCAAAAATTTTCCCCCTAATTTGTGGTAGATCTGGAAGCAGAAACATGAAAAAGAAAGAGGGAATGGAAGCGAAAATCAAAGAACAATTATAGGAAAAAAAAAATTAAAGAAAAAGCTAATGATTAAGACATAGTAGATAAATTCGAATGATATATTAGCAAAATGGAAAAAAAGTAACAAAATTATGATAAAGATCAAAAATATAATAGCAACGAGTAGAGGAAGGAAATTACCACATTTGTAGCCCGATTCGCTGAATTTTTATGTGGTTTTGGGAGGCAAAATCAATCAAATTGAAGAAATTCTAACGAAAATGACGACTGCTATGTAATTAGGTTTAGGTTCATGGAGGAAGTTCTTATGCTGAGGGAGAGGTGTACTATTAAGTGGGTAGTTTTTCCACATAGCTTTTATTAATTATTAATTGAAGTCACGTGTGCATCACATGAATTTCTAGACGCTTTTCACTGTCGAGACTTTACTTCGACGTGAAAAAGCGTCGAAATATACGGGATCTATATTTGTATATTGACGTCTACTACACAGTGTCGATCCAATAGCGTCGAAAAACAAAGGGATGTAGTAGTGTTAGTTGAGTTTGGTTTAAGATTGATTAGTGTTGTGGCTTCGAAAGAAGGCAATGTTGAGTGCCCTCTCTATCACCCAATTTGTGTTCATGCTTGCCTATTGATTTGATCCGTTAGTTGGGTTGGAGTCGATCCCTATTTTCCCAAGTGTTTGTCTCTATAGTAGTTATCTAATCAAAACCCCCTATTTGTGACCGAACTAGATTGCAACCGTTTCATATTCTCGATGTACTTACCCATTCCCTGTGGATACGATCCTCTACTTACCCTAGACTTGTCTTAGGTTGGTTTAAGTAGAAATATTGTTTGGTTTTAGGGTGATTGTCCAACGACCGATTATATCCTTTCTACCAATGATCTAGGTGTTTATTTGGGTTTTCCCCTTACTGACAAGAGGCCTACCCTTTCCCAACTTAGTCACGTAACCAAGAAGCTTAACTCCAAGCTAAATGCCTGGAAGTCAAAAAACCTTTCCAAAGCTGGTAGAGCTGTCCTAATCAAATCCTCCCTTGCTTCTATACCTGCATATACCATGCAAACTATCCTCCTCCCTAAAAATCTTGCCTCAAATATTGATCAAATTTGCAATAGATTCTTCTAGGGATCTACTCCTGATAAGAGGAAAACACCACTCATTGCCTGGTCAAAGATTTGCTGCCCTAAAGACCTGAGTGGGCTAGGGTTGAGGTTGAATCATTTGTATAACATTGTTCTCATGGCCAAGTTGGGATGGAAAATGCAAAATTCTAGCAATCTCTCTGCCACCTTGATAAAGGAAAAGTACTGCCACAGAGATTTACCAACTAAGTTCAGTAATGGTTCCCACATCTGGCAATTAAGATATAGGTAAAGGTTGGGACCTCCTAACTCTCTTCCTCCCAATGGGCTATTGGTAAAGGGAATACATGTTCCCTGGCCTCTGGCATGATAATTGGACAGGACTGGGTGCCCTGAGAACTTTAATCCAGGGCCCCCTCAAGGAAGAAGAGGAAACCCTTATTGTCAGTGAGATCATATATGAGGGAAACTATAATTTGTCTAACCTCCATCATTCTATGCCTCCTCACATTGCTTCTCATATTCACGGCATGGTCCTTCCCGGGTTTGGTGAGGATCAGTGCTTCTCAGGCTTGGGTAAAGGAGGGTTTTTTAATGCCAACACAACCTACCTTAAGCTGAGGCAAGAGAATTAACGTCACCACCACCCTGATAAATCTATGCTTACCAAAGTTTGGCTTCTCTCCTCCCCCCATCTGCTAAATTTTTCCTCTGGTTATGTTTATGGAACATGTTACCCACTGCTGACCATCTCCATTCTAGGCATATAATAACCTCTGGATCTTGCAGCTTTTGTCCTAGCACTCCTGAAACCTTAGATCACATCCTCAAGGAGTGTAATAGGGCTAAGGAACTTTGGGATACAATCACTCCTCCTGCCATGAGCCAACACCTAAGCACCATTGACTAGATGTCCTCAAACCTTGAAATCACAACCCAGCATCCCCTCTTTGACATCCCTTGGAATCAAACCTTTTCTTTATTAACCTGTAGACTGTGGCTTAGAAGGAATGGTTGGGTCTTTAACAAGAAATCCACCCCCATAAGCAACACCATCGATGCTGCCAGAGCCTGGCCCATTGAGATTGCTTTACTTGGCCTTAAATCCTCCATAAACACCCCAAACCATAATGCCTTTACAGTCAACTGCCCTCAGTGGAACTCTAGCCTTTGCATAGTAGTTGATGCTTCCTTTAGGGATCAAGGAAAGACTGTAAGTTTTGCTTGTATCTGCAGGGACCAGACTAGTACTTGGGTGAAAGGTATTGCTTCCAACATCTGGGCAAACTCTTCCCTTATGGCTGAAACCATAGCCATAGCCACTGCAGTTTCTTGGGTGATCAAGGAAAACTGGAATTATATCACAATCATTTCTGACTGTCAGCAAGCGGTTCAAGGAAAAAATAACCACAACATAGCATTTAATGAAATGGGGAATCACTACCTATTTTGCAGGGACCTTCTAAGAAAGATACCAAGGGGAAAGTTGTCCAAGGTACCCAGAGATCAAGTCAGGGTAGCAGATGTGGTGGCCAGGCAAGCTATGCTGAATTTAACAACTGTAAGTAGGACTGATTGGTGCTTCAGCAACCCCCTCAATGCATGTGTGCTTATTAACCCTCCTGCTGTAGAAGTTGACTTTTGTAATAGCAGTAGCGTATCTTTTGGTAGCAAACTCTTATCTGATCAGAACAGTAACTCTAATTTGAGTGCTAGTACACCCCTTTTGAATCCGGCCACCTTAGCTAATGGTGGTGTTAGTTGTAATTAAATTAGGCTGCGGCCTAAGGGATGTAAACTTGTTGACTGGTTAACTACTTAATTTAAGCTTCTCTTCTACCAAAAAAAAAAAAAAAGCTATTCATTGTGTATATATGGCTCAAGCTAATTGTTAATAATGCATTGCCAACTTTATACCCCTATACTAAGGTGTAATAAGGAAATAAATGTGTATTTGTATCAATTGTATGTAGCTCGACCCTTAGTTTTTTTTTTTTTTTTTTTTTTTTTTTGAAACCAAGCTCGACCCCTTAGTTGTTCGTATATGAGTTGTTATTTCGTTCTACTACTCAAGGGGCATAAATAATCAAGTCTAAAGATTATGTGTTGCTTTAATCATGAAGACAAGATAATCACACATATTTTATAATAACAACAATGTAACACATACACTAACATCATTTCGTTGGATCATACATGTAAAAATTGGGTGAAGCATAGAAGTAAAAATGTTCAATTGCATGAAAATATATGATATGTAACTCTACGAATTTGAAGTTGAGTTGATGTACTGTCGAAACTAGAGTAGCGCAGCTGAAGAATTTACGTTATGATGTTTGCTGCTAACAAAGAACATTCAGTTCACCACCTTATTACAATCAGGATGGACTTGCTTTTTAGTTTTTAGTTTTGATCTTCTTGCACATAGTCTCGAGCATCAAACGTTGAAGGGGAGGCCTTGTCGGTGGAATCATCAGGATGCGGCATATCACATTCGGAGTCCAAATCATTCTGCATCAAAAAAGCAGGCCGCGAGGATACTGGAAGAGTGATAGAATAGCTATTTAGCATTAGAACAACAGACGACATGATTGGCCTTTGTGTTGCATTCTCTTGGACGCATAACAACGCAATGTGTATGGTTCTTAGGACTTCATTTGTATGTATAGCTGAAATGGTTGGATCCACCAATTTCATCGCATTTCCTTCGGACCAATTTCTCCAAGCCTGGAAATATACCAAGATAATTTGGAAATGGAAGATAAGAAATTGAAATTTGGAAAGTATAAAATAACTCAAATTATATCATCAATAAACATATATAATTTCCTCGCTCACTTACAAAGCTTAGAAGGCTATCTCCATTATGTGCTTGTGAAAACCTGCTGACCTTTTGGCCGCTTATGATTTCTAGTACTAGCACTCCAAAACTGTATATATCGGACTTGATCGAGAAATTTCCATGAATAACATACTCCGGAGGCATATATCCACTATTAGATACAATGCAAGGAAGTTAGTTAGTTAGATGTAACTAACTAGAACTAAAAATTAATTGATATGTATAATAGGTCATTGAAAAAGTTGTGATTGATTTTTCTTAGATATTTTTACTATAATTTAAAAAGTAGCAAATGAAATTATGAGCAATCCAATTCTTATGAATAAATGGCCTTTTGGTAAAATCGTGGCATATCCTTAATTATGAGGGGTTAGGTTGTTAGGAGAAATGTCATGACAAATTGTGGAAGGATGGAGTGTGTACTACATGGAATTTGCAAGTATGAAGTATGACTTACCAAGTTCCAGCAATTTTACTTGTGTACACATGAGATTGATCTGCTCCAAACAAACGCGCAACACCAAAATCTGAAATTTTTGGGTTCATCTCTGCATCTAAGAGCACATTTCCTGCTTTGATATCACGGTGGACAACTAACAATCGAGACTCTTCGTGCAGGTAAAGTAGTCCACGAGCAATTCCGCCTATAATTTTGTAGCGCTTTTCCCAGTCTAGATACTTGCTCTTGATAGGATCTGCATAGTTTTAGATTAAACAAGTGTAGTAACTTTGAATTAGATTAATTTTACAGTTTTAATGTCGAAGCATTACCAAAAAGGAGTTGATCGAGGCTTTTGTTGGGTAAATATTCATAGATCAAGAGTCTTTCCTCTTTCGCGAGGCAAAAACCAAGAAATCGCACCAAGTTTTTGTGTTGAAGCTTAGCTACTAATAAGGCCTCGTTTTTGAATTCCTTTTCACCTTGTCCTGCACTTGTGGTCAATCTCTTTACTGCTATTACTTGTCCATTTTGAAGTCTACCCTGAAATTGATTGCTTCTATATATGTAAGGTACAATTTGTGCATTGAAAAGCTAATAAATTCGTATGAAATTAAAGTAAAATGTGGATCATTGTACCTTGTAAACGGTACCAAAACCCCCATGGCCTAGCTTGTTAGAATTGGAGAAGTTATTTGTTGCAGCTTTAACAGTGCCAAATTCCAATTGCAATGACTCAATCATTTTGTAATCATCTTCAGCCTCTTCGCCTTCAGATTCATAGAGGGGGATTCAAGTTACAATGATATGAGATTTATGGATCAAGGCATACTTAACTTGTGTTGTCTTCATCTTAAAACAAAAATATTCAGTAAATGCTTGTTTTGAAAAGAAAAATAAATTTCAAAAAGTAAAATTATATTTTCAGATAAACTTCAATTTTTAATTAATAAGTAATTTCAAAGAACAAAACAATAATTACTCACTCTATTCAATTTTTAATTAAGTGTATCACTTTGACTTTTGTAGTATTCATATACTTTGGCTAAGTATTATCTACCGGCAATGTTTGGCAATTGGCTTTTTAACGGTTTTTTGGTTAGCTTTTGGCTTTTGGCTTTTTTAGGTGGTCAAACAGCCAAAAAATGTGTTTGGTAATTGGCTTTTTAGTTAGCGAAAAAGCTGGCTTTTAAGCCAAAATGAAAAAACTGCTTTAAGTAGCTTTTTTGTTGGCTTTTGGCTTGTTGGCCCACAAATTATCTAATAAACAACCAACAATTAATTTACCAAACACTTTTATAAACAGCTAGCTTAAACAACCAATTTCAAAAGCCATTATAAACAGCCAAACATTCCAGCTGGTCAAACAAGCCAAGTGAACTAGCTAACAGCCAACAGCCAACCGCCAAAAGCCATTTGCCAAATAAGGCCATAATATGTTCTTTTTTACTTGACATGTTTCTTTTATCACGCTTGCCAATGCAAAATTTTAACGAACAATAACTTTAATTCTTCATAAGTAAAAATTATACTCCGTAAATGTTATATGTTATGATAATAATCAAAACTTATTATAAAAGTTATATATCTGTAATAAATATTTTAGAGGTTATATATCTGTAATAAATATTTTAAATTATAGTGATCTAAAAGAATTATAACTATCATAGTACGTAATTAAAACTTACTTTCAACTTTCTGCAATGGCCTTCCTCTTCTTTTTAAGTAGCAGCTGATAAATATTACCACTACTAAAATCGTGAAGATGGGGATGATAACTATCATGGCAAGTCTAGACCTCTTGCTTCTTCTTCCTGAAGAAGCCAATCATCAAAGTTAGAAAATTTTGCACTGGCAATGAATACGCATTTATATTTTTTTTGTACAAATTCTTATTTTTTGTTCAAATTAATATGTAAAGACTAATGAGTTGCCGATATAGTCTTGGATACATCGATCTCTAGTATAATAGAAATAAAATGAAAAGTCTCTTAAACATATATAATGAATTATGTTACCTTTTGGCGTTGTGATGATAGTGGATGGAGACGGTGTTGAGGGTGGTAGAAGTGGTGGTAGCGCAACAACAGACTTGTAAAATTGGTAGTTCTCGTATCTAAGGTTACACGTTGGACCACCAGCTCTAGCCCCTTCCTTGCCGTAGCAACAATCAGAAATGGTATAATTAATGATAAGATTTAGACAATTCAAACAGTCATATTCCTCCAAGTCTGGTATGCACTGTAGGAGTGCATATACCTTGAAATTTCTAGTAACATTAACTTCTCCCGTAGCATATTTGCGACGAAAATCCCCTGAAGCAGCCTTATAAGCCAACTTCTTCATCAAGTTTGATATCGTCGAGTTGAACCCCTTGGGATCGGATGCCTCTATAGGACGTGTCAAATTATACCGTGGTTGAGACATCTCCCCCTTAAATATGTCAGTATCCGAGTAACGAATCATACACTCATCGTACCATCCGATAGCAGAGTTATAGCTAGGACAATGTAAGCCAATCCTAGCTGCCGCATAATCAACGCAGGTCTTGCAATTGGAGGTAGGAACGTCGCCCCTACATAGAGCGACTCCATAAACTTTGTCGAGTTTTTGGCCAACTGAAAGGTTATAAAAGCCATAGTTGATTCGAGGATTCGAAGCTATAGAGGATAGAAGAGTGTGGAGATTTTGTTTGTAAGTTGGACTGCTTTTGGTGTAATTTACTATGAGATCCCCGCATGTATAGGCTTGAAATTTAGGCTGACAATTTGTAGGAATGGCAAACAAGATTATAGTAACGGGAAATATAACTAGTATTATTCTTATGTATAATCTTGTGGATTTCATTGTGTGTGTGTTTTTTTTTTTTTTTTTTTTTTCAAGTTATCAAGCTCATATGCAGCTTCCTAGTGTTGTAAATTAACATTAGCTAGTTTGAGTATATATGCATATAAAGTTATCAATGTATGGTTCACCCTTAGTATGTAATACTTGACTTTGACTAGCAGCGCTAACGACACTTCGGAATTGTAGCAGATTATAAATTACTAGTTTTGTGCCCGTTCGATGCCCGGGTTGTTTATTAAATTTTAAGATAAATTTTTAATTTATATGTCAAATTTCAAAACATATCATTGATACAAAATTAGTTAGGAATTGATGCGTTTTTGTGACGATATAAACTATGTGGTATGCATGTAATGACTAATAATAATAATAATATTCGTAAAAAATATTTTTTTGGCCCGTAATCTGAAATAATGACCCTGTCCGAAATGACTCGTGACCCCGACTCAATTGACAGGTCTACACACAGTAATAAAACTATATTAGATTGTGAAGTATATTATTTTAATTGATTAGAATATATTATAAATTAATGGATGTGGTACATTTTGAACTAATTCCTTCGCTCCAAATACAAAAATAAATAAATATATATGATAGTTTATAAGAGTTGTAATCTAATTATGTTTTTGAATAAAATTATAATACAATTTGTACATATGAAATATTAGTACTTTATCGAAAATAAAACTCTAAATTAACAATTTTGTTCTAAAATTATATCAAAATTTGATTGAAAATAAAATTCTAAACTAAGGGTCTGTTCACATTTACTTAATTTAAGTTCAGTTCAGTTCAGCTCCAATCAGTTCAGCTCCTAATTTTCCTCTCTCATAAAATATTCATTTTAGCTCAGTTCAGTTCAGTTCAGCTCCAATTAGTTCAGTTCACTTCAATGCAGCCCAGTTCAGTAAATGTGAACAGGCCCTAACTTTTTTATCTAACAAATTGAATTATATATAACTCTATCCTATACTACGTGGCGCGACACTTGGCGAAAAGTTAGAAAGCCAAGTGTCACTGTCTTTATAAACAATATTCTAACTTTGAAATTTCTACGTAAGACTAAAATAACTTAAGTTCACCAAAAATAAGTTTATTTATACAATAATAATTTTAATTCAATAAAATAAGCTGAAAAGAACAATACTTCTTAAAATAATGTTTTTCAATAGGACTTTTTCAATAGAAATAATTTTAGTTCAAGATTGTTTTAAAAAAAAAAAAATTAGTTCAAGATTTATGAACAAGGTAAAAAGTTAAATGAATGCATTTATGAATTGAGAAAAATTTTGATCATGTGGGGCATACCAGGCATTGCTTTTTTGAGGAGAACCAGGCATTGCTTGAAATTAGAAAGTTCAACACTTTTTGTTTCACAACAAAAAAAAAAAAAAAAAAAAAAAAGTTCAAACACTTTTAGTTCCTTGTCAAGCACCTTTCACGCCCCCACCATTACTCTCCCACAAATAAGAAAATTATAAGTAAGTTCTTGTAACGTACTTGACGGGGTAATATAACAGACAATTAGCGAATAGACTACGGTGTCGAATGTCAACCACAAAGGCGTTCTTTATAAGTTCAATTGGACGTGCTTTATGGGTTCAATTGATTGTACCATACATTACTACATTTGGAGAAAACACTAGTCAATAAAATATATTTGTAAGGGGTGTAATGTCTAGGCAACATCAAATCAATTCATATTTGGTTTGGATACATTTGTATCAACTTTAAAACGAGTTTGACCACGTTAATTTTGGGTCAAGGGACTTTGGGTCGACTTTGATTTCAATACGAACTTGGATTTAATTTTATTAGGATAACTGAAGATTCATTCTATATAGGGTCAGCTTGGTGGAGTTGGTGGGGAACTCACCTTGTGACTTTGAGGTCACAAATGCTTGGAAGTAGGGTCGTAGGGGGATTCCCTTACCTCCTCCCTCTACTTTCAGTTATTTTTGTGTCTTTTTTATATTGTGTCATTAACAGTTGAATGATTAATTTTCTCATTATATAAACCAGGTTTTTTTTTTTTCATTTTTATCTGTAAAAGCCAAATTAAAACCGAGTTATCAATGACTTATAATACTTATTTCTAATTCATGTAAATATATCTTCATACCCCAATTTATTATACTCTCTTCATCCCTAAATTACATTCTTATTTCTCTCCATTATAGGAGAAATAAATTCTAGAAGTAGGAATGTAATTTAGAGACGGAGGGAGGGAGTACCTTTTTCTTATGGTAGCTAGAGTTTCATTAACCAACGAAATCATTAAATACCTTTTTCATTATTGTCTTCTTTAAACACGATAACGTACAGTACATTAATTGTTTGTGTTTAACTCAATGACTCATTGGTGAATATTTTTGAAGATCAATATAATGTACTCAAAAAAGTTGGAGTATATATTTTTAATTTACAATTTTGAGTTGGAAATTGGGATGATTTTCCAACCCAAAAAAAACGTTGTCAAACAAAATGGTCTCAATAAGTAAATTATGGAGCATTTTGAACTTTCATCGATTCCAGTCAAGCTTATACATGTTCTTGTACGCTTGTATTAGTTAGTGTCGTTGGACCTACTTGCCTCCACCTGTATATTGAAAAAGAATATTAGTTAGCTTATACATGAACTCCTTATGAATTTTTGCAAAAGAATATTTTATAGGAAATTGTGTGAAAAACTACCTATTATAATCTAGAATTTGCGAGAAACTACCTATTAAAAAAAATGTTGTAATTGACTACCTAATTTTTGAAAAATGTTGTAATTTACTACCTTACGCCAGATTATGAAAGAGTTTGAAAAAAGTTCTCTAATGTTGACTTGGTCACGTGACACTTAATCACCCTTTTCTTTCACCAAGTGTCACGTGACCAAGTCAACGCCGGAGAATTTTGGTCAAACTCCTTCATAATCCGGCGTAAAGGTAGTAAATTACAACATTTTTAAAAAGTTAGGTAGTCAACTACAACATTTTTTTTAATAGGTAGTTTCTCGCAAATTCTGGATTATATTAGGTAGTTTTTCACAAAATTTCCTATTTTATATAATAAGTTGAATAAAAAAAAATTATACGTACTTCCTCCGTTTTTTAGTTGCTATAATTTCCTATATTGGAAATTCTTAATTAGTTACAACACTTTTCATTTTTGACATTTCTTTCTTTCTATCTCTCTCCTACCCACATGGGTCCCTATTATTTTTCTTAGTTACATATTTGTTCATCATTCCACAAGCACTACTAGAAATAGGCCGAATTTCGACGGATACAAAAATCCGTCGCAAATTGCAAAATTTTCGACGCATTTTAAACAATTCCGACGGAAATTTCGTAGGAAAGTTATTCCGGCAGAAAAAACCGTCAGAAATAAAATAATTTCCGACGGAAATTTCCGTCGAAAAGGCATCTAATAATATTTATTTAAAAAGACAAAAAAAATCGTATAAATAGCTAAAATCCTAAAAAATACTCCCCTCATGGCCTCATTTCAGTTTCCTTTCTCTCTCCCCTCTCTCTCTAGCCGCACACCCTCTCTCTCTTCTTTCTTCATCTACCTTCTCTATGTATCTCTCCTCTCTTGCTACTCCCTCTCTTCTCGATTTCCTTCGCTACTCCCTCTCTTCTCTTTATCTCTTCTCCATTGTTGATTTCCGAAGCTAGCCTATGAAGCACCCCGATGTATTTCCCGACCAAGTTCCCGGCATGTTGTGGTTTTAAGGTCAAGTTCGACCATGGAAATGCTAGATCTAACGCTTCCATGGTCGAATTTGGCCTTATATAACCAATTTTAAGACTTTGAATCGTTGTGGTAAGTTTTTTGGTCTGAATTTCTGTTTTTCCTTTTTTTTGTTAATTTTTTCGGGTTTTGGCAGTTGTCTGATGTTGGGTTTCGACGGTGGTCTGATGTTGGGTTTCAGCGGTGGTTTTAGGTGGGTGGTGGCGATGGTTTGTTTTCATTTTTTGTTAATTTTTTATTCTTTTTTTTTGGTCAATTTTTTATTTCGTTGTGTTTTCATTTTTTTTTTTTGTGTTTTCATTTTTTTTTCGGGTTTCAAGTTTTCATTTTAATTTTTTTCTTTGTTTTTTGTTAATTTTTTCAGGTTTCGCCGGTGGTGGTTTTAGGTGGGTGGTGGGGTGGTTTGCCTAGGTGGGGTGGTAGATTTGGTGGTTGTGGGTGGTGGGGGTGGTTTGGGACTGTTGATACGAGTTAGGGGGCTAGTGGCAATGGCGGTGTCTGTTGGGTTTTTTGGTGGTTGGAGGTGGTGATACGCCGTGCCGGTGGTGGCGCGACATTTTTTTTAAAATTTCAGAAAAGCATTTTCCGTCGGAAATTTCCGACCGAATTGAATCCGCCGGAATTTTCCGACGAATTATTGCAGTGCCTGAAAATATTTTTCGACGGAAAATTCCGTCGGAATAGTGTTTCCGACAGAATTTTCGTCGGAAAAGTTCATTTTTCCTATAACCACTTTTCCGACGAAATTCCGTGGAAACCTTGTTTCCAACGGATTTCATTGTGTTTTCGACGGAATTTTTCTGTCAAAAATGGGCCTTTTCTAGTAGTGAAGTTTAAACTTAATTACATCATTCAATTTTATGATGTACTAATCTCTTTATTTACACTTATTTAATGTACTTCTTTAATCGACGATATCTCCAATTTGATATTAACAAAAATCATATAAAAATATATTTTTGGAAACAAATCTAGACGATTTTAACAAATCCCACATAATTTGTTTTTTTACATGTTGGTGAGAATGCATTGTCAAACTTTGACTTATTTAACCGGCCTACAATAATGAATGGGTATATTGTTTGGAAGAGGAGGTAGTAAAATAGATTTATAAATTTATCATACCAGTAGTAAAATAGATTTATATATAATAAATATATAAAATATTTATTATTGTGTCTACAAATTGAACAAATACAAGTAAATAAATAACAAATTAAAGAAAATAACAGTATTCCTTTGTCAAACTACTATTGTTTAGGACTGAATTCGTAGTTTGTTGAAGCTTAAAGGTTTTGATGATGATGAACTAAAATCAAGCAAGCTTCGACTAAAGGTTTCTTTAAGTGTGTGATTAGAACAGGTGAAGTGGACTTTGGAGGTGGAAGAGTAGCCTAAGCTAAGAAGACATGAAGAGGCTCCTAAGAAAGGGTAATCAAGATAGAAGAAGAGTTCTCTAACTAGATTTAAGTTCCCTAACAGGAACTTGAAGACAGCAAGTTGAAGAGTTGACTTGGTCTGCATTGAAGACAACAATTTCTGGAAGAACTTGGCCTGCAAAGTTCCAGTTCATAAATGGAGTACAAGTGACAACAGGAACTTAGTTCTGGTCTGCTGCGTGAAGCCTAAGTATCCTATAATTACAGAATGATGGCGCAACAACTTAATTTAGTTAAGATT